GTATTTGAAAACAAAAAGCCCCACAAAACCTTCCTGGGTTCAGCTCAGTGCCTGGTTTTTTTCTCCTTTAGGACCTCGCATCCCCGGACCAGGAAGGGGCAGCCGCCCCCTCTGTTTCAGGGGTCTATTTCATTTGCCCGTTGACTGGTGCAGTCGTAAGGAAAGACAAGAAGGAAAAGCACATCAGAGAAGCCATCCAGTCGGTAAGCGCTATGTCTGCCAGCTGCACAGCTTCCCTTCCTCCTGTTTTAACACATTTGGTGGCATGGGTCCCCTCGAGCAGTGCAGCAGTGACCTCTCCACCCCTCCGCCTTCTCACCTGTGAAATCTCCACCATCTCCCGAAGGGCGAGTCTGCTCCGCTGTGGATGTATAAATGCCTGTCTCAGCACCCTCCCTTCGACTTGCTGGAAATGCTGGGACTGGGAACTCTGGCCCTGTACTGGTTTTGGCTGGGACAGAGTTCATTTTCTTCATAGCAGCTGGGATGGTGCCATCTTTTCAGTTTGTGATGAAAACAGTGGTTACGCACTGGGAGTGGCTACACTGGGAAGCAGTGAATAAATTCCTTTGCTTGCATGCACAGCTTTTGCTTTACCTAATAAACTGGCTTTAGCCCAACCCACAAGTTTTTTTCCCCCCTGCTTTTACCCTTCCAGTGCTCCCCCCCATCCCACTGTGGCGGGAATGAGCGTGGTGCCGAGCTGCTGGTCGGGGTCAAACCACAACAGACCCACGCATCCCTTTGCGCAGAGTAGCATCAGCTCCCCCCTGACCAGCTTCTCCTCTTCTCCCCCAGTATTTCTCTGTAGACCCAGTGGCTGCCTCCATCATGGAGATTCACACCTTGAATAAGGACCGGGAAAAAGTACGAGTGGGCGTGGAGACCATGGCCAAGTGAGTGGGCTGCCTTAGTAGGACTGAGCGCGGAGGTAGCTTGTCCTTTCCCTGCACGGCTAGCAGGCAGGTGGATTTTCTTGCCCTGCTCCAGGCAAAGTCTGAAGAAAACCAAAGCCGAACACACTTGAACAGTCTTAAGTGTTAGTTAAGAAATAAGGTCAGCATCTCAGAGATGTTTTAACAGTTGGTCCACAAGCCCAAGAGGTTTGGGAGCTGCTGGTTGAGATCAGCCACCCCCATCTTCTCCCTGGCATAGGCATGAAACGCTGATGTATTTTACTTTCCTGAAGTTTTCAGCTCTTTTATCTGAGAAATTCTGTGAGGTCTCTCAGTCTCTTCTTACACCTTGGGGTAGCATGTTCTGAAGTGTCTGCTTTGATCCATACAGTGCATTTATCTTTCTGCAGATACTTGGATAATATCTATCTCCATCCAGAGGAGGAGAAGTACCGGAAAATCAAACTGCAGAACAAAGTGTTTCAGGTGAGGTCAAGACTCCTGCAGGTGCTCTGCCTAGGAAAGTCCTTGCCTGGAGCAGACTACATCTAAATTCTTTCCTTTTCTTCCAGGAAAGGATAAGCTGCCTGGAAGGGATACACAGATTTTTCCAGGCTATCGGGTTTGAGACAAAAACACTGCCTGTTCCAGGACAAGGCAAGAAATCTAAGTGTATTAAACTGGAGTCAGGAGTTTGAGTGGTGGTGGGACATCCCAGGGGAGGCTAGCGAGGCGGCTTTGGTTGTTGAGAGCTCCGCAGGCTGTAACAAAGGCCGTTAAGAAAGAGCCACTCACCCTGCAGTTTCCCTGTTAAGACATTACATTTTCTGGAGATCCTTGCCCTTGTATTTCCTATCTCGCTCACATAAAGAGCAAGAGACTCAAATCCTGTCCTTCCGGTTGTAGAGACCGCAGAGGAGTACTATGTACTGAAGGAAGAAATGCTGACCAAGTTAGAGGACCTCAAGGACTACAAAGAGCAGCTTTTGAGCTCTGAGCCTGTGAGAGCCCAGCTGGATCGCCAGCTCTGTGTATTTAAACCATCACCTGAAGCTGCTCGGTTTGAGCTGCCAAATGACTTTTACAACCTCACTGCAGAAGAGATCAAACGAGAGCAACAGCTCCGGTGAGTGGGCTTTGAAGAAGGGTCCTGACTGCCCAGGGGCATGCGATACCAGCTAAGAGCCTTGTACCTCTCCTTCATGCTAAAAATTGCTTTCTCTCTAAAGGACAGAAGCAGTGGAGAAGGCTTCGATGCTGAGAACAAGAGCCATGCGAGAGAAAGAAGAACAAAGGGAAATGCGGAAGTACAACTACACCCTGGTGCGAGTTCGGTTTCCTGACGGATACATCCTCCAAGGTAAAAGACTTCTTGCCTTGTCTTTGTACACCCCCAAAAGCTTCGGAGAATACTTGTAGCCTAAGAGCTTGCATAATAAGCAGGCTTGAAGTGTGCTGAATGCAGCTGGTAGAATAAAGCAACAAAAAGCAGAGCAGGGTAATGTTTCTCTAAGAACTCTTCCCATCTCTGAGCCCTCCACCTGTCTCACCTGCACAGGGTTGGGACTGTAAGCCAGGGTTGAGTGGAGAGGGAAGAATCTCAAGGTGCTGTTAATTAAAGCGTGCTCTTCCCAGGCTACTGCACGCAAGCTGGACTCATTAGAGCAGTTTGTTATAGTAACCAGCATGAGGTTGCCTGCGTGGTGTCAGGCTATACAACAGTATAAATCCTCTCCAAATTTTGCAGTAGAACTCCGGAAATCATTTCAGGCTTTCCCAACTCTTTGTTACAGGCTGGCAGGGGCTTGCAACAACTGAAGCAATATTTTTCTTTGGGGATTCGGCTTTTATACTTCTCAGCTGAATCAAAGCTGTTTCTGTGTCACTGAAGTAGTTCATAAAGTTACCATCAGTACGTGAGCCCCACGGAGCCTACCACAAAAGGTTAGATTTGGTAAATGCCAGACTCTTTCTCCATATCTCACCTTGTTTTCTCATGGCAGGGACTTTTTATGCACGAGAATCAGTATCTGTGCTCTACAACTTTGTGAGAGAAGCACTCAGAGATGACTGGCTGCCCTTTGAGCTGTTGGGACCCGGAGGTCTCAAACTGACTGATGAGAACTTGGCCTTCAATGAATGTGGGCTGGTGAGTAAAAAAAAGATAGCTGGTACCTTCCACAGGGGTCTTCAGGTTGTCAGCCTCACCTACTGCTCATAACTTAGAGAAGTTTGTGTCTTCTGCTCTCAATGCTGTGAGCTGTGCTCTGGCCCCTTCTTTTTAAGCTCAAGCAAAGAAGTAACGGCTTGAAGGCTTCCAGCTCCAGGCTAGGAGGTCTGGCTGGAAGGAACTGCAAGGACCCACCTCCTGTAGCAAATGCAGGTTGCAGTAGTTGCCAGCAGCTCTATTGTGAGGTTGGCATCCACGCTGGGAAAAGAGGGAAGGCAGCAACTGTGAGGCAAGCGCAGCTCTGGCACAAGGCTTCCAACAGAAAGCCCAAAGCAGCATCCCCTAAAGGAGCTCCTTGCAGAAATCCCCACTTGTCCTTTTTAGTTGAAGTGCTCTTGCTAAGTGTGTCCAGGTCTGTGAACATACACAGCATGTTATGATGTCAAAGTGTAACACTGCTATAGCTTAATAACACAGCCTTTTCTGCTTCAGGTGCCCTCAGCCCTCCTGACTCTCGCCTGGGACGCAGCAGTCATGGCAGACATTCAGGCCTCAGGAGAGGAGCACCCAGCAAGCCCCCTGAAACCAGAACTTCTCTCCAGAGCCCAGACACTGTCATGAAATAAAGGGGAGTGGATTCAGTGCTGGTGGTTTAGACTGTTCCCTCATTTTCCCATATAGACTGTTGGAGCTTCCAGCTACATGACCTCAGAACTGACACTGTTTTAGCTCTGCAGAGTGGGAGTTGAGATTCTGCCATGTCACACCAACCTTGCGGGTACCTCCACAACTCCAGTAAGCGTACACTAAGGCAGCCTTGCCCAGTCAGACACTTACAGGACTGCTCTGAATGGCTTTAAAACCCAAGTTCTAGCAGTGACTGCTAGAGATGTTTCCAAGACCATGGAGAAGCACCGCTCTCCTCCCCTGGAGCAGGGATCAGGTGCTAGTACTAGGGCTGGATTACCAATCAAGTGAGCCTGGGTATCAGGCTGGGCTTAGAACTCAGCTTTTCCTTTTGCTTCTGTGTGCACTGTAACTCCTATTGGAGAGAATATATTTAGATAAAATTATGTTTAGTCTGATTAAATGGAATATTTAAAGACTTGGTTCTGTTCAAGGTTATTTGAATGCACTGCTCTTAGAGGTCTGAAATGCAGATGAGCTCCAGTCAGCACTGGAGCTGGCACTGGTGTTACTGGTGCAGCTGTGGCATTACCCACATTTTCACTTCATGATGCCCACAGACAGAACAGGGGACAGACCCGGAGACTGACAACAGGCGACAGTTATCTATACTGCCCACTGGTGAGAGATTAAGCCTCAAACTACAGCCAATATTTTAAGGAACTAAATCATCATCTCACAAGCCATATAAAGTTAAAACCCCAGCAAGTTTGTCACATACATAAACAAGTTTGAAGTATAAAGGACTGAACTAGCATCAGCCTTAAAGTTTTTCTGTGGGGTAGAGGCCAGCTTTTATGTATACAGCTTCTATTGTAGCAATGTGTACAGGAGAACAATAATCTACCCCCGATATGTAATTAATACTGGCCTATCCCAAAATTAGAGAAACAAGGAGAAACAAGGTGCATTATTTTTTTGTTTTCCAAAGGTAAAGCCCTGCTGCTGTTCTCTGTAGCAAGTAAGACCACAAACAGGATGATATAGATAGCATAAATTCAAATATAATTGTACATCATTTATACCCAAGGCCATGCTATACAACATTATGAACAGAGTAATTCCCCCAGTGGCATCACAATAAGCTTATTTCAAAATCCCTCCACTAGTTTTAGAGATAACTTAGATACCTTCCATTAGAAAAAAGTATCGAAATTTCAATAATGCTTTATTAAGGGCAGATTAATATGCAGTATTTTTTAAGCTAAAAACTAGAACTAAAAATTTAAGCTTCCGTCTGGTCTGAAGCAGAACAAAGTGCTGTCTTCTCTTTACAAGAAATATGGAATACTTTCAAGTATCTTGTTCAAAGATACACGAGGTTTAAAATTTTCTAACTCATTCTACATACATACAGAGAAGTTAGTAGGCATTTAAGTCTCAAACTGTATTAGATGGGCTGACCATGCTGGTGTCCTGGGGAGCAGCTCTTGTGCCACTGGAGTCTGAAGCTGTTTCAGTAACTGCCAATGTAGAATCTGCAAAGTAGAAAATGCGTTGGCTTGTTGTTTTGCTCTGGTTTTTGTTTTTTTTAAATATCCTCATTAATCTAGCAGAATTTGACTACTATATGCTTTATCTGTCTTAGTTTGTCTGCCCGTATCTGTTGCAAGTCTCCTTTTTGACACTACTTAAAAACTGGTTTTAATATTGGGTTAACATCGATCCAGAATAAAATTACTTCAACCATAAAAAGGATCTTCATAATCTTTTCAGTGCTTTAGACTCAGGCAGGCTTAAACAAATACAGCTGCATGTGTGTCAACAAAGCCTGAGGAAGGCAAGCTACTGAACAGCATCCCCATCCTCAGAACAAGAGGCTACAAACCTGAAGCAAAGCTTTCATCTCACAGCAGTCTTGTAATAAGCAAAAGCAGCTTAAGATTAAATGCAAAGCTTCTTGTCAAACAGTTGTATTGTCTGTTATCGAAGGCGAGAGGAAGAATGCAGCACCAGCTGAGACAGAAAAGAGAACCCAGGTATGTCCAGAATGGGTCGAACACTACAGAACGTAGGGCTTTGGAATATGCATGAGCCCTTATCTATCAATTAGAGGAGCTGCCCAACACAAAAACCCCACTTTCCTTAATTCAGGTTGTGCCAGTAGCATTGTGAAAGAGCTCTATTGTGAGCGCGGTAAGAAAGGGCTCGGAGGTTTTGAAAGCGGTTTAGAGGAGCTGAATGCACATCATGTGGTTGGTGTTAAGTCATTGATCTGTATGATCAAGTGTGTATAGTTAAAACCTCACTGAGATGAAAGGAGCCGCTTCCACATCCTCATCCCACTGTTCCTGAATCCATAGCCTGAAAGGATGCACTATAGCAGTGGAGCTTTGAAAGCCCTTTTCCAAGGGATAACTGGGACACAAATATAAGCAACTGCTTAGATTCTAGAGCAACGTTGATCAGAGCCCTCAGCTCTCAACAAAGCTTCGTTATTACCTGATGTTATTTCCTTCAGACAACTCGGCGTGCACCTAAGACTTCAAGAAGGCAGCAGAGGGGAGTTACGGTCCAGACCTTGTCAGTCCTGGAAGGGCTCTGAACATAAGCTTGCACAGCCCAGAGACCAGCCCTGCTCAGCAGCACTGGCCAACAGTTAGTGGATCTGCTGACACTGACCCCAATGTTCACTTTTCTTACCGGGGCGGGGAGTAACACTAGCAGCCAAATGCTAGTTACAAGCACTTTGTGCCATTTAGTCAATTGGAGGGAGGAGGGAAGAAAAGGCAAGAGCAAGTTAGAGAAGTCTGTAAATAGCAAAAAAGCATCTAGAATAAAACATAAAAGGCAGAGAAGTACCTACAATAAAACATCTAGAGAGAAGAGCACAAAGCTTGGTGAAAAAAGCGGCAGAAAAACTGCAACAGGTTTAGCTACACACTGTTCCCACTCTGTCGTACTCTCCCTTGTGGGAACGAGCATCTGCCAAGAGACGGCTTGATCAATGTATTTTCCCACCTTTGCCTGGCTGTATATCCACAATCATGCAGTCATCATCTTCCTCATCTTCCTCAGTGTCTGCCTGAAATCCATCCATCTCTGCAGCTTCAGCCTTAAGGAAAAAAAGGTACCAGCCGCGTATCAGCAATGACGGTGCTAACGTGCGAGACCAAGCACAGCCAGTGCCGTGAAGGACTACCGCGGGCACTCCTCACGATTAGGACTCACAGCACAGTCTGATCAGTTGGGCATATTTGTAGGGAAGAAAAATAAGCAACCCCTGGCTTCAACAGACACTGACTTTTGATAAAAGGCCTCATCTGCGATGGCACATACAGCAGGAAGCACACCAAGCTTCTGCTCCAAGATGTTTCACTATTACACAATGCGATGAACAGCCTACACATTGAAAAGTCAGTTCAAACCTTAACTGAAGTCTGACTTAGTTTTGTTGGTTTTTTTGGAAGGGAAATCTCTCCCCCCTCTGCTGATTATTTTGGACGCTTTCTTCCTTCTGAAGATGGAAAATGACTTTTGCTTGTCAAGTTTGAAGCGTGTTCTCTCCCCCCACTCCTCCTCATCTTTGCCAACTAGCTTTTCTTCAGGGAGGGGCAACAGTTCTTCCTTTGGTGACCCTATTTCCTGCCACGGGAGCAGCCCAAACTACTCATTTTGAGTTGAGAAAATGAATACAAGGAGTGATACAAACCAAAGCTGCCCAGCATTGAACAGCTGCGAGTGTGTTTGGTTTTTTTTTTCTTTTCCCCCCTGCAATGGGAACTGTGGAATGAAAGTCTCAGACCTAGAACCTGGTCCTCACCCCCCAGAAGCCGTTCCAAGAGAAGAAATTTTAAATGTACATCTTTCATTAAAGTCACAGTTCTCAGATTAAGTATTCCCCTCCTACATGTGCGCAGCTACTGCCCACTTCAACACAGAGTTCTTCTCTCTCCACAGTTTATCTAAGAGCACCTTTACTTACACAAGTCCTGGCGCGAGCTTCACGGCAGAGTAACACGTGCCGGGGTAGAGAACCCGGCAGCCCTGATCTACCAATCACTCCTAGGCTCTCCCCACGCTTCAGCCTCACTCGACAGGAAGGATGGGATCTCAATACCTGAGCAGTGCCAATTTAGATGTCAGGCATAAAAGGCTTTCAGGACTCTGACACCTTTGCTCTGAGCTGCACTGTGCCGCACCTCACAAGGGCAGCTTTAAGATGCTTTTGAGAGCTTTGAAGAATTCAGGCTGGTGATGTAATTCTACTAAAAGCCTTTGTTTCGCTATTTCTGCTCAAGTAGTCTGTTCTAAGCAGAATTTCCAGCGGGTGCCAAGCAGAGATATTTATCTCTGCCTGTATTTAGTGTATAAGAAAAAAACCCAAGCAGATGGAGTTTGGGGGCTGAACAGCTTCTCACAAGTCTCTGATCCCTATCAATACTTGAATGCAGAGCTTTTTCAGTAGAAAAGCCAAAGAAGCCAAGAATAAAATGGGAAGGAAAAGCATAAAAAGCCTTGTCTGCAGCTTCTTTCCTCACCCGCTTGTCCACAGGGGATGAGGAATCAATCCACAGGCAGTGCAAACCCTGCCCTACCTGCAGGTTTGGAGGCAAACAGTTGATAACACCAAGCTTCAGGACCTAAAGCCTTACTGTCTGAAATGCACGATAGCATCACACAGCTAAAGCACCGATCACATACTTTTCAGTCATCCTTTTGGATGATTAAGCTCTTAATACTACCCGTGGTTACCCGGCAAAGCAGAAGCAAACAACAGGAAGACCACAACAAAGCTTAGAGCTGGAGTAGCAACTACTCCAAATCCATCTCATTTTGTTCCTATGAATTATCCCTTTTTTTTTTTTAAACCAGCTCTTGAAATTCAGCTTTATGTACGACAGCATAAGCCAGAGACTTTACAGACTATTATGGGTTGAGTTGCAGCACTTACGAACCACATTTAATCAGTACACATGCAACTGATGTAAGTCACCAGCTCAGGCTATACATCTGGCAGCCACACACACACATAAAAACCTGCATACAAATTATATACAGCTGTAAAACCAAGGCCAAGCAGACACTCAGAAACTATTCACAGC